GTATTGGGACCGTGGGGCCAGATCACGAACGTGTCGTCAACATATCGGAACCAGCAGGAAGGCTTAAATAAGGCTGAGTCCAAAGCTAGTTTTTCAAAATGGACCATATACAGGTCACAAACAATGGGAGATAGGGAGTTGCCCATGGCCATGCCATCCTTCTGTTGGAAAAACTTATTATCAACTTGAAAGTAGGTGGTTTTAAGACATACCTCCAACAACTCCATAATCGCATCCCATTGCAGGCAAGAACGTGACGCCAGTGTGTCATCTTTCTGAAGCTCATCACCAATGACAACTAAGGCCTCGTCCACCGGGATGTTGGTAAACATGTTGATGACATCAAAGCTGACCAAAATATCAGTAGCCTGGGGAGTGATGGAGTTCAGTAATTGCACAAAATGGTAGGAGTTCTTTATGAAGGATGTGGACTTCCCGGATTGAGGTCCAGTGATTGAGATTAGCTTGATCTAAGGGACCCAACTGTATAGGACACATAAGAACCCTCCTTACCTTTTAATTTTTTTCTCCCATTTTTTCCCTTTTTTACCTCCATTTTACTTACCTGAGGACGGTAGCAGATCCAGCTTCCGAAACGTCGTGGTTCAACTGACTGGGACGATGGATACAGTCCAGAATTTTAGTTTTAATATCTATTCTCCATCGTCGGGATCCTTTAGCTCTTATTGTGTTACTTGCGTTAAAATGTACCACAGCTTTACGAGTCACTGAACTTAATAGTTGAATTGTTAATAATTTATAATGTGGGGCAAAATCATAACATAAAGGTAGTTAATAGATCCTTTGAAAATGTGGCACAGTTCGAATATTTTGGAACAACAGTAGCAAAACAAAATTAGATTCAGGAGGAAATTAAGAGGAGATCGGATTTTGATAATTCTTGCTAACAGTCAGTCCAGTACTTTTGTCTTCTCAACTACTGCCTAAAACTTAAATTTTGAATATACAAAACTATAATTTTACGTGTGATTCTGTATGGGTGTGAGAGTTGGTCTCTGACATAAGGGAGGAACATAGACTTAGGGTATTTGAGAATGAAGTGACAGGAGGTTGTAGAAAACTACATAATGAGGAGCTTCATAACTTGTACTCTTTGAAAAGTATAATTGGAATGATCAAGTCAAGGAGGATGAAATCGGCAGAGCATGTAGCACTCATGGGGAGGAAGCTGAAAGCATGCAGGATTTTGGTGGGAAAGCCAGTAGGAAGGAGACCACTAGGAAAACCTATATGTAGGTGGGAGGACAATATTAAAATGGATCTTAGAGATATAGGATGGGGTGATATGGAGTGGCTTGATCTTGCTCAGGATAAGACCCAGTGGAAGGCCCTTGTGAACATGGTAATAAACCTTCTCAAGAAGGACTCAGCTCCATGGAGTTATTATTAATAATTTATAATATGGTGCTTTTTTCTCCATAGATTACTGACCAAGATGCTGTGATACATGGTCTCCAAGAAAGGGTGAAGACATCACAGGCTGAAGTGGAAATACTAAAGGAAAAGTGTGAAAAATATGTAGCTGATTCCAAAAGTAAGGTCTCCAAAGCGCTGGGTAATTTTTTGTGCGGCTGTTGGCAACCCTGTTGCATTCGTTGCTTCCCCCACTCCCCCCAATACCGCCAAGCATGCGCGCACGTAGATAGGACACTCACTCTTGGCACGGTTGCCGTTAGAAATGGAGCTCCCGATTACTAAAACCGCAAAGTGTGAGATTCGCGCAGTTATTCGGTTTTTGAACGCAAAAGGGACTAAACCAATGAAATTCATCGTCAATTGGTGGAAGTGTATGGCGAGTCGTGCATGGACATAAAGAACGTCCGCAAGTGGTGTAGGGAGTTTGAATCTGGTCGTACTGCAATACACGATGAAAAAAGAACTGGGAGACCGTCAATTTCTGATGAGACAGTTGCGAAGATTGAGCGAGTCATGCATCAGGATAGGCGCATCACACTCGATGATCTCTGCATTTCGGTTCCCGAGGTTTCCCGAACCACCATTTATCGGGTTTTGACAGAGAAGTTGAATTATCGGAAGGTGTGCGCAAGATGGGTCCCGCGAATGCTCACGGAAGACCACAAACGGCAGAGAGTTGACTCTTCCCGTGAATTTCTTCGCCGCTATGCTGACGAAAAGGACAACTTCTTGAATTCAATTGTCACAGGCGACGAAACCTGGGCGTACCACTTCACACCTGAGACAAAACAACAATCACGTCAGTGGCGGCATTCCTCTTCGCCTAAGCCTCGAAAATTCAAGCAAACACAGTCTGCCGGTAAAGTCATGGCAACTGTGTTTTGGGATCGAAACGGGGTATTGTTGGTTGACTTTATGGTAACTGGGACCACAATAAACGCTGAGAGATATTGTGAGACACTGAGAAAACTCAGGCGGGCGATTCAGAACCGGAGAAGAGGGATGTTGAGCAAGGGCGTAAGCATTCTCCACGATAACACTCGCCCCCATGCTGCCCGACAAACTGTCGCTCAACTGCAAGAGTTTGGATGGAACATCATCACCCATCCACCCTATAGTCTGGACTTGGCGCCCAGTGACTACCATCTCTTTCCAAAGTTGAAAGAACATTTGTCTGGAAAGCGCTTCAACAACGACGATGAGGTGAACGCTGAGGTTCGAAGTTTCCTGAACAGCATGGAGGTGAACTGGTATGACATGGGCATACAAAAACTGCCACTGTGCCTACAAAAATGCATCGACTGAAATGGCGATTATGTAGAGAAATGAGTACATGTTCAAGATTCAACTGATGTATCCAAAATTGAAAATAAATGTTTATTTTATATTTTCAAACATACGAGACCTTACTTTTGGAATTACTCTCGTATATAGGTTATAGTTTTTTAATTTTGTTTGTTTTATTTATTAATTTTTTTGTTTGTACAGATAGAGTGAAATTTATATCCGTTGATGGTTTTGAAACTGAACTGACAAAATACCATTAAATGGACGAACATTTAAAATTCTAACAGTGCATCTAGGATTGCAAAAATTGATACTAAATGATAAAATACTATAACGTGTTTCGTTACTGAATACGCCGTAGAGATCGTTAATTGGTTTATTGAACAATCTACAAATATCGGCTACAATTAATTATCACAATGTTATGGGTTTCCGCACTTTACAAACCCTACAACAAAATCTCTTAACACTATCTTCCAGAGTCTTCACCTATTAATAGCGCGGGAGCTATACAAGCCTCGCTGAATTACACACTCCAAATATAACTGGTTATCACGAACTATCACTGATTCTCGCACACGCGTCTGTAGCTCGTAACTTGCGAACTGAGAACTCGTTGATAACACACTCGCTCATAGGCTTGCTCGAACTAGCTCGGAACTGAGCTGGGTGATGGCCACGTTACAACTGTGCGACTGCTACGTTACAACTCACTCGTAGCTGCTGTGCAGTTCCCTTATATAGCCGCAGTGGTGCCTGTTGCCACGCCACAGTAGGAAGCGGTGACGCGTCACCATGTTTGCGTATATCCTAGCAACGCTGTCCGGAGTTGTTGACTGCTGCCTAGCAACTGCGATATCCCTTGGTGACGTCACCGCAGAGGGGTGTGGCGGGGCAGGGACTCGCCTATTACCATAGTAACGCGAGCGCTACTTTACTGCCATGTACCGCTGGGGAGGTAGGGGTTATCCATAGCTCAACATGTCACACTGCTCCCTCCTTAAGGCTGTTCATCCTGAATAGCCTAACGGTGCATCCCCGTTCCTTTGCTTCGAAGGCTGTTCTTGCAGCATCTTTTTTGTGTCCTTCTACTGTTTTTCTTCTCCCCGCTGCTCTGCTCTCCAACCGCCACATCTTCTTTGTGTCCTTCTACTGTTTCTCTTCTCCCCATTGCTCTGCTCTCCAACCGCCACATTTTCCCCCTTTTTATGGTTGCTCGTCTTGAGCAGTTCCATGATAAGGCGCGAGCCGGTCGAAGTGTACAACCAGCATCCTCGACCTAGGGGTCTTCTGGATTCGGTAAACCACATCATTTATCCAGGTCACTACTTTGTAAGGACCTTCCCATGATGCTTGTAGTTTCGGCGATTTCCCCTTTCTGCGGGTTGGGCGATAGAGCCAGATTCTGTCGCCTTCGTCGTAACCTGCGGAGTTGGCCAGTTTATCTCTTTGTCTGGGGGTACTCCAAAGAGCAGGTCACAAGCTAGTCGTAGTTCTCGTCCGAACACTAGGCCAGCAGGGGTCAGGCCCGTTGTGTCGTGAGTGGATGCCCTGTAACCTAGGAGAAAGAGGGGTAACCTCTCATCCCAGTCCCTTTGGTGCGATGCGACGACCTTCCGCAAGTGCTCCTCGATGGTCTTGACGTAGCGTTCCACCATGCCATCCGACTGTGGGTGCAGGGGTGTGGTGCGCGTCTTGCTCACTCCCAGGCGTTGCAAAACTTCTTTCAGGAGGTGAGACTCGAAGTTACGGCCTTGGTCACTGTGCAACTCTCGAGGTATGCCGAAGCGGCAGAAGAAGTTGGCAACCAGAACTTCCGCTATTGTTGAAGCCTCCTGATTTGGGATGGCGTACACTTCCGGCCACTTGGTGAAGTAGTCCATAGCGATCAGTAAGTATCGGTTTCCTTGGTCGCTTCATGGGAAGGGCCCTGCGATATCAATGGCTACTCTCTCGAATGGAGCACCGACATTATACTGGTGCATTTGCCCACGATTCCTGGTCCGCGGTCCCCGACTGGCTGCACATGTGTCACACTGTCGACACCATTTCTCCACATCGGTTCTTGCTTGGAGCCAGTAGAATCTCTGTCGAACCTTATTCAGAGTTTTGTTGACACCGAAGTGACCTCCTGACGGTCCACCGTGCAGTTCGCTCAGAACGTCCTTCACCCTGCTCCGAGGAATAATTATCTGGGCTACTTGACGTCTTCCGGTGGCGGATTCCCAGTCACGCTCTAGTATGCCGTTTCTCACAGCGATCGATTTCCACTGGGCCCAGTAGCTTTTGTATGTGGGACTCCGATCCGCGATGTCCTGCCATTTTGGTTGTTGGCCGTTTTCTTGATTGGCGTCTAATTTGGATATTAAATCTTCTTTGTCTGTCTTCCTATTTTCTTGCATGGCCTTCATCTCTTTCAGCATATCGTCTTTATCAGTTTTCCTATCGGCGTATAATTTTGCCAGCATGATATTTGCTTTTTCTTAATTGAATTCTAACTTCGCCAGGAAATCTTCTCTATCTTTTTTTCGGTTGGCTTCCATTCTGTCTTCCATCCGCAATCGGTCGGAATCTGCTTTTGCTTGGTTTACCCTCATCTCTTCTTGATGGGTTTCATGCTGGCGTCCATTCTGGCCAGCATTTCCATCACCTGCTGCATCTCCATTGTGTAGCAGTAAGATACTTAATTCACAACAAATTGTTTGTGGCGTGTGTAAGTCCAAATCCCACTTCTGACACCAATGTAACGTGTTTCGTTACTGAATACGCCGTAGAGGTCATTAATTGGTTTATTGAACAATCTACAAATATCGGCTACAATTAATTATCACAATGTTACGGGTTTCCACACTTTACAAACCCTACAACAAAATCTCTTAACACTATCTTCCAGAGTTTTCACATATTAATAGCGCGGGAGCTATACAAGTCTCACTGAATTACACACTCCAAATATAACTGGTTATCACGAACTATCACTGATTCTCGCACACGCGTCTGTAGCTCGTAACTTGCGAACTGAGAACTCGTTGATAACACACTCGCTCGTAGGCTTGCTTGAACTAGCTCGGAACTGAGCTGGGTGATGGCCACGTTACAACTGTGCGACTGCTACGTTACAACTCACTCGTAGCTGCTGTGCAGTTCACTTATATAGCCGCAGTGGTGCCTGTTGCCACGCCACAGTAGGAAGCGGTGACGCATCACCGTGTTTGCGTATATCCTAGCAATGCTGTCCGGAGTTGTTGACTGCTGGCTAGCAACTGCGATATCCCTTGGTGATGTCACCGCGGAGGGGAGTGGCGGGGCGGGGACTCGCCTATTACCATAGTAACGCGCGCGCTATGTTACCGCCACGTAGGGTAGGTAGGGGAGGTAGGGGTTATCCATAGCTCAACATGTCACAATACCTTAAATAAAGTAACATTAATTTGGGTCAGCTTGCACCATCCCTTCCTTCTCCCTTGGGATGCTCCAAAACAACCTGATGAAATAGGCAGAGGACACCTAGATCGGTCACAGACATTATATGACAGGTGGAAGACTTTGGCAAGTAATAAATTAAAAAGTGCATTTAATTAAACAAGGTATATAATTCAGTTATCACTAATCTTTGAGCTGAATCAGTACCATGGCAAGTAAACATGTACTGAGTAAGTAACTAACCAGATCCAGAACATAGTAATCAAAAAGTAAACTAGTAAATATAGTTCAGTGAACATGTCTGCATATCATCCCAAAGGTGAAGAACCTCAGCTTGTCAGAAACCAAGGACTCGCCACAGTAGGCACTTGGCAGACAGGTTGCTTTGCCCCAGATGCAGTGACAGTTCAGGAAGCTCTATAAGGCAGCCAGACAGAATTTCCAGAGTGACCTCCCAATGCAAGATATCCCCAGGCACTGAGTTTGAGGATCAGTGGTGAGCCCCAGGAAAAGGGATAACGGTAGGAGAGAGGCAAGTGTAGGGGGATTAGTGGACACAGAATAATTAGCTAGAATGATGGACAATGCCACATTTATACATGGCTGCACGTTAACTGAAATGTTACGTTTTTCTGGATAATGTCTGTACGTCACTGAATTTCATAAAGATAATGAAGCTTTATGGGGTACAGTGTGGCATGCAATTTCTTTACAGCTGCTTGGTGTTAGCAGACTGATTAGT